CCCCCCCCCCCGCCCCCACGGTCCGCCTCCCACTCCACCCGGCGCAGGTCGCATCCGGCCCTGGGGAGGGCACTGCCGAGGCAGCGCGGCGCATGGCGGACACAAGTACATTGGCAGTTGGGTGGCTAGCGGAATTGCAGGTGGCGCAACTCCGAGCGGATGAGCCCGGACCGCCAACTGGACGAGGAAAGCGGCGAGCCGGACGCCTCGGGCCGATCAAGGCGCTCGGCCGAGGGGGCCTCGAGCGTGGGCCCGGGGCCGACCGTGGCCACGAGCATGTGGCGGGGTCGACGCCCGGGGCCGAGCGCCTGCCCCGGGCCCGACCCCGGGGGCTGGCCAAGCGAGGCTGGCGACGCCGGTGGCTGCGGCAGCAGCAGCGCCCCGGTGGTGCTCGGGGTCCAGGGCTCGGGACTGCCGGCCGCCAGGGCCGGGTGCTCCTCGTCGCTGCTGGCCGAGTGGGGGGCCGGTGCATGGCCGGGGTGGGCGCTGCGCGGGCGAGCTGGTGTGGCCGGGCTGGCGGACGCCCGGCCGGACCCGCCAGCGTCCTCCCCGGTGGGCGTCAGCCCATCGGGGTGATGCTGCGGCTGCTGCGGCTGCGGCTGCTGCGGCGGCTGATGGGGATCCTGCCGTCGCGGGGGAGAGGGCGTTGCCGGGAAGAAAAGCACCTCGGCGGCTGGGGCCGGCCGCGGGACACTCAAATACCGGCGGCGGTGGCGGGAGGCCGGGGTCCCGGCCGCCGGGTCCAGCGCCGGTGGCGGCGGCGGCGGCAGCGGGCTGCCCCGACCGACGCCGATGTCCACCGAGCCCGATGACCGGAATGGAGCCGCCCCCCCATGGTGCGCCGGGAGGTGGGTGTGGCCATGGCCGGCACGGGCGTCGGCCCGGCCGGCCGCCCCCTCGCGGGCCGCCACATCCAGGCAATCCCACAGGCGGATGCTCCGATCGAAGGAGGCCGTGGCGAAGTGCCGGCCATCCCCGGCCAGGGCCAGGTGCAGGACCCGGTCTCCATGGGCCGGGGCCACCTCAAAGTGGTGGTCCAACGAGGGGTGGGGGCTGGGCTGGCCGAGCCCCGCCAGCGGGGCAGCGGCCGTCCACCCGGCGGGGCCCGGCGGCGCCGGGAACCGGCTCGGATCCAGCCGGTGCAGCGTCCCCAGCAGGGCCCCCCGGCCGACCGGGCGGCCGGTCACCGGGTCCAGCACAACCGGCACCGGGCGCGGCACGCCGGCCAGCGCGGCCGGGGCCCAGCCCGGGTCGCCAGGCACCGGGACCCGTGCCCCCGGGCGCCGGCGCACCCCCGGCCGAAGCCCCCACACCGAGAGACTGTTGGAGGAGAACCCATGCGCCGACACCAGCTGCCGGGTGGACCGATCGAAGGCCAGGCCACACACCTGGGACCCGGTGTCCAGGGCAAAGAGCTCGCGCACATGGCCGGCCGGGCCGGGATCGGCCGCCAGCCCGGGCCACCGGGTCGCCGCGGCCGCCAGCCCGGCCGCCGGCCGCAGGACATCCCACAGGCGGATGCACCGGTCGGCCGCGCCGCCGCCGCTGGCCAGCACCGGCCCGGCCAGGCCGCCGGCCAGGCCCGGATGCTCCGCCTCAGCAAGGCCCTCCCAATAGCGCAGCCACGCGTCCTCGGCCGAGGGGCTGGCCGACTCGGTGCCCGGGGCCAGGCGATCGGCCAGCCCGGGCCCCAGGGGCCCGGCACTCGAGCTCACCATGTCGGCCGAGCACCAGGCCAGCGCCCCGACAGCCGCCTGGTGCCGGGCCACTCGGGCCACCGGCTGCCTCGGCCACCGGGGGTCCCACAAGCACAGCAGGTGGTCGCTGCCGCCGCTTGCCAGCCACCGGCCGCACGGCGACCAGGCCAGGCTGCACACGGTGAGCGCGTGCCCGCCGGCCTGGCTGCCGCCATTGCCGATGGCCGCCGGGCCCGGCGAGTAGCCCGGCCGGTGGCGGTCGAACAGCAAAACCGGCTGCCCGACCCCGGCGCGCGGGTCGACCGACGCAATGCGCCCATTGTGGCTCCCGAGCGACAGGAGCCCGGCATCGCGCCAGGACAGGGCCCCGACCAGGCCGTCCAGCGGCTGGCCGAAGGACAAAATGGCCGCCTGCCCGCGGAGGGCCATGCTGGAGTTCAGGTGATCCGAGCGCAGGAGGACCAGCTCGCCGAAGTTCGTGGCCGCGGCCAGGGTGGTCGCCTAAAAGGCCCGGGGGGCGGGAGGGGACGGGGGGGGGGATATGTCAGCTGGGCAAGGGGTAGGGAGGCACGCGAGCATGAAGGGGAGCCACACACATCGCCCCAGGCCACGGCGGAGATCGTGCGCGCATGGTGTGGCAGGAGCCCCGGCGACCAGCGCGGCAGGGCTGCCTGCGAGAAGAGCTGCGTGCTGCGCGTCGAGTGGACACCGTGTACGAAGATCATCGACTCCAGCCCGACTGCCAGCAGCTCCGACGGCTCCCAGGACATGACGGACCGGTAGTAGTCGTTCTACCAGGGCCAGGGCCGACGCAGAGAGGGCAGGGAGAGGGAGAGAGGCCGGGAGAGGCAGAGAGCATGCATGAGGATGGGGTCCCGGTTCCAGCAAGGGGCATATGCACACGTGCATGTCAGTGTCCGCGATGGAGTCAAGGCAGGCGAGCTGTGCGCCCGGGCGGGAGGGCCGTCGAGCGGGCCACCGGCGCACCCCAATCCCCGAAGCATGGAGCATGAGAACGGGTTCGACCGCCGGGGGTGGCCGCGGGCCGGAATCCCCCGGCCGGGAGGCCCACCCGGCGGAGGGGCCCATCGCCGGGCCGACGGACCCGGCCACCGGGGCCCGGCGCTCGGTCGGCGGCGAGGCCGGGGCCCAGGCCGTGCTGAGGGCCGGGCGCTCGTCAAAGCCCGCCGGCCCGGCCAAACTCCGGGGGAGAAGATCCTCCGGGTCGGTGGCTGGCGGGTCCGGGCCATCCGACGAGAAGACATCCGGGCCCAGGGAGGAGCTCGAGGCCAGCATGTGGTTGAGGGAGTTTCTGGTCGAGAAGGGCAGGGCGAGGGCGTCAGCCAGGGAGGGGCAGGGCCGGAAGGGAGGATGGCAGGCCGCCGGGGGGAGCCGGCGACGAGCACCACCCGGGGCCGGGGGCGTACGAGTGTTGTCGCATTGCGCGGATCCGCTGAATGTCCGACAGCGTTTGGGCCGATGCCGCCGTGGCATCCAGGAGGGCCGGGTTCGGGGAGTCGGCCATGGCCAGCAGCTCGTCCGGCCAGGCGCCAACCAGCGGCCCGGCCATGAGGGTGACCGACCCGCGCGCCAGGCGACCCATCAGGGCCGCGGTCTCCGGCTCGGGCGAGGGAGGCCGGTGACCAGGGGCCGGGCCAGGCGGCGCCGGCCCGCGAGGCTGCCCGGTGATGGCCCCCGCCGGAAAGAAGACGCCCGGGCTGGATCGGGCGGTGTCCGTGCCCGATCCCCGACGAGGGGTCAGCCAGGGCGGCGGGCGTGCGGGGCTGGTCGCCGGCCCGAAGGACCCGCCCGGCCCGGGGGGGCTTGACGGCAGGTCACCGGGGCCGCTGGATGGCCCGGAGGGGGCGGAAGGGGGGCAGCCGGGAGTCGAGCCGCGCCGGCGCTTGGCCTCCGGCCCGGCGGGTGACGCCTCGCCTGGGCGCTTTATCCCGAAGGGAGGCCCGGGCGGCGGCGGCGTCCCGGGCGAATCCATGGATCGGCAAACAAGTGGCGGATGGGCGGGCGGAGGAAGACCAAGAGCCTGAGAGAGAGAGAGAGAGGAGAGATGGGCAGAAGCGGGGAGAAGGGGCAGGCACAGGGGCAAAAAGGCATGCATGCATGCGGGAGGGAGGAGGGGAAGACGGCCGGCGGGTACAGGCCCCTGGGTAACACCGAGGGCTCCGCCAGGAGGGCTGCTGATCGGGCTCCGTCGACCAGCAGGGCCGCGCGCGGGCGATGTTCCTTCCAGCATCCACTTTCGCGGCCCCCCCCCCCCCCCCCCCCCCCCCCCCCCCCCCCCCCCCCCCCCCC